AAAAAAAAAAAAAAGAATTTGAGTAATCTTTGGCCCCATAGAAATGCATTCTTCCTAAAGAATTTAGAGTAAAATTTGTAATAAAGATGCTTGGGAGATGATTTCTCAAGAAAAATTGAATTGGGTTTTCCATGAACTCTTGCCTCTTAATTTTTTAAATGACAGAACTGCCTAAAGCTAAGTAGATATAAGAAGAATTGAATATTTCATTACATAAAACAACCCTGCCAGGATGGGCCCAAGGTGCCTCCCCTTCAGAGTTTGTCTTGTAAACTCTGTATCCTCGCTGTTTGCAAAGGAGGGGAAGACGATATCCTCCTTCCCACTGGGCATTTTCAAGCACTCTCTGGAGTGCTTCAAGTTATCTGGTTTCATGTGTTTATTACCCACCTTAGGAAGTTTTATGCTCTAAATCACACTTGGCTGCTACCACAAATCCTTTTGAATCATTAGAAACATTATTACATAAGGCTCAGATTTGTTTTCTTTCCCAACTAAAAGTCAGTGTGAGTTTTTTTTTTTTTTTTTTTCAGATAAAAGAGCTCATTTAAAAATTTTGTATGAGTTCAGAAATATTTAAATAGGAAGTTAAAACTCACCCAGATCCCACATGGAAATGAGATCTGGCTATTTCTGTCTGTCCTAGTTACGGAGCAACATCCCCTGTCACCTGGTTGATATCTCTTGCGGATTACCCTGCAGTGCCACCCTACCTTGTGGGATGCACAAGTGTCAGAGACTCTGCCACAAAGGAGAGTGTCTTGTGGAAGAGGCCTGCAAGCAGCCCTGCACCACTCCCAGAGCTGACTGTGGCCACCCGTGTATGGCACCCTGCCACCCCACCTCCCCCTGCCCCGTGACTGCTTGTAAAGCCAAGGTACGTGTACCTGACTCCAAGTGGAACATTAGCTGCAGTTCTGGGCACTGCCTGCAGCAGTGCCTGAACACACCTCCTAATCATGGGTCGTTGCTTATAAGGTAGCAAGATAAATTGTACAGATTTCTATCTGCCCAGGTGCCTACTGCCTGGCTATACTCTGTCTCCCTTAGATCCATTCTCAAGAGGGACTCTGTCCACACCCTTTATTCAGTAAATACATTAGTATCTGTTTATGTGAGACATTGTTAATTACTGGGGGTAGGCCTGTGAACAGGGACAAATGGTCCCTCTAGTTATGTGGGACAGTTACTAATTTCTCAAGTAACTATGACTGATAAGTGTTGTGCAGTAGTTACAACCTCTTAGAGAATACTATATGATACTTAAGAGTTGAGGATTTAACCTGGTCTGCAGAGTAAGCCTCTGGGGAGGTAAAAGCACAGGAACGAAGTGGAGTTGTTTAGGTCTTCACTGGCTCTGGGTCAAGTGTCTACCTCTGGTTGAGTGGTAAGAACTTCCAGGCTTAGCCCTGTATGCAGGATTGAGAACAGAGGCTCCAGAAAGGGGTCCTGTAGACCTGATTCTTCCTTCTTACATTATTGCTACGTAGACCATGTGTGAATAGCTTCTTCCAACTTGGAGGGTGACACCTCAAGTCTCTAGTCTCTGACATGGTTTGATTTGAAAGAGACTTTAAAAGTAAAACCTGGCTAGTCACATGCTCTCCATGTGCTAACAGTCACTGTTAATTCCTATTTCAGGTAGAGTTGCAGTGTGACTGTGGGCGAAGAAAAGAGATGGTGGTTTGCTCTGAAGCATCTAGCACTTATCAAAGGTTAGTGTTACTTAAACATAAACAGTTGATGGATCTAGATGAAATTATACATGTGTTTATTGTAGGATCCTTGCAGCTTTTCTAAAGGTTGGGCAATTTGTTTTGTTTCTTAAAGATTTATTTATTTATGCATACACAAACTGGAGTACAGGCCAGAGTCTGGGGGGTGGGGGTGAGAGGATTCACCAGAGACAGAGTGGGGAGCAGAACAGGCAGATCCACTGAAGTACACTGCTGAGGGGAGCACTGGGCGGGGCAGAAGAGATCTGCCATGGCATGTGGGTCACCTTCCTGGCCAGGTATCAACTCATGCTGCAGTGGCTACAGATAGCTTCATAGTGTTTTGCTTTAATCCATTGCTCCACCAGAGAGGGCCCAAGGTTAGACAGTTTTAAATACAAATATTCTTAACTTTATATTTTCTGATTCAAAGAGAAAGTACTGCTTTTTCCTATCTTTTACTGTTTGATTTTAAAATGACTTTTATATTTCCCCCTCTTCCTCCCAAAAGGAGGTCTTATCACACCATGAGATCAGAAGGGGAGATGTCCTGAAGTTCGTGAATTGTTTTAACATCTTACCACTTGTGATGGCATAGCCAGGTCCTAGTGTTATTCTCACTCTTCCCCTGGGGTGGGGTTTCTGACCTTTCTGTAAGGTGTCTTTGCAGTTTCTTGAAATCTTAGGACTCATGTTTCACATAGGGGTCTGGGTACAGAAGTGGTAGTGTCAGGAATGGATGGTTGCGTGTATCTAGCTGATTAAATGCAGAACTGTACCAGGAAGGTGGAACATAGGAGTGGCTGTATTTGAATGCCTACTGAGTGCCAGGATGCTCAAAGGGATACTGCAGTGTCGGTTGCCTCCTTGCTTCCTGTGGAGCTGCTTAGAACCTGATTGAGGAGAGGTGACATAAATGTGTAGGTGGTACATAATAACTAGTTTTCCAGGCCATGAAAATCATCAAGTAGTGGATTTGCCTTGAAAGAGAGAGGTTTTCTGTGTGCTTTGAGTAGGTACGTTCTTGTGCAATGCCTTTTCTTCCCTTTTTTTTTTTTTTTTACTTCAGGATAGCTGCTATTTCCATGGCCTCTAAAATAACAGACATGCAACTTGGAGATTCAGTGGAGATCAGCAAATTAATTACTAAGAAGGAAATTCACCAAGCCAGGTTAATATTTTAAATATATAGCTGTGCTTTCTTTCTCCTTTTAGACTTCATTTCTAGAGGGCAGGAGCCATTCATTTATCTCGATCCCCCAAGTACATCCACACATTAGGTATTCACCAGACATTTGATGTTTACTGGCCACACTCCCTCCATCCAAAACGTCCTACTCAGAGGTTTCTCAAACTGCTAAAAATGGAGCTTCCATATGACCCAGCAACCCCACTCCTAGGTATCTACCCAAAAGACAAAAACACTGATTCAAAAAGACACATGCACCCCCATGTTTCCTGCTAATTTATTTGCAACAGGAAAGACATGGAATCAACCCAAGTGCCCAAAAGTGGATGACTAGATTAAAAAGATGTGGTACATATACACAATGGAATTATTACTCAGCAACCAAAAAAGATAAACACCTGCCTTTTGCAGCAACGTGGGTGGATGTGGAAAGGATCATGCTTAGTGAAATAAGCCAGAAAGAAAAAGGAAATTACCAGATGGTTTCACTCATAGCAGGAGTTTAAAGGACCAGGGGGGAAAAATAATAGTAATGAACCACTATATAACAGAGACATTTTATGGGGGTGGGGTAGGATGGGATAAAAATGGGTTGGGGGGGAAGTGCACTGGACTATGGTGATAGCACACGGGTGCTTTGGTGATGGGAAACCCAAGGGGATTACAACTGAGATGGAAAAAGGCACAAAATGATGTAAAAATATTATATTAAAAAAAAAAAAAGAAAGTACTACTCAGGAGATAGCTAAGACCAAAGGAATCTTTTCTAGACATCACTCCAGACAGTAACGAGTGAAAGCAGAGATCCAGATATTTCCAACCCAGCCCACAGAACCAGAGTGGTGGCTGTGACTGGAGATGGGGGTGGGGTTGTCAGAGACACTCCAGAGCATGTTAGGGTTTCAGCAGCCAAGAGACACTCTGAGGCCCTTCTGAGGACTCCTAACCTCCCATAATTCAGAAACCTGTCTGCTTTTACAACAAATTTTTATCACTTTTTCTTTGTCTCAAATTTTAGTAATTTTTCAGTTGTTTGCTTAACTATGTCATGGGTATGGAGAATCTCTTCACACCTCCATATGTGCACATGCTTCACACACCCTACAAAACTCCTGTGCTAATGTCCTGTCCTCTTCCTTCTTCGGTGTCTTCTTCCCTCCCCCCACTCCCCTTCATAACCAGCATATTTTTCAGTCTAAGAGTTATTTTTGCTTTGCTTTTGCCCATTTGTTTTATTTGGTATTTTTATCCCACAAATAAGTGAAACTGGTATCTGTCTTTCATTTTCTGACTTATTTAATTTAGCATTATCATGTTCATTTTGTGCCAAAAGGCACTATTTCATCTTTTTTTAGTAGCTGAGTAAGTATTTCATTGGGTATACATCCCAGAGTCATCTGTCATTGGGCACTTAACTTGGGTTGATTGCGTGAATAGGCTCTTGTCAGTAATGTTGCTAAGAACATACCACCCGTTCTATAGAGGGATCTGATCCAGCCTTCCTTTGGCAGGAGTCTGCTCTGTTTCTGGGTTGGTTATTTAAGAGTTTATAGCTGGCTAGGAGCTAATTGTTTTTGTTTTTGTTTTCATTTGTTTCTCAAGACTGGATTGTGATGAGGAGTGTTCAGCCTTGGAAAGGAAAAAGTAAGTAGTTTCAACAACTGTTTATATACTTTGTCCTTGGAGCTCTGTGAAATTAATGGGAGGGAGTGGTTACATTCACTCAGCACCTGCTCTGAGTCTTTTGTTGTTTTAGCAGAGCAAGAGAAATTTGATCATCAAGAATTGAAATATTGCAGGATAAATCACTTAGGTAATTTTAGAGTATTTCTGAAACATGAGCTTATGTGGTTTGAGGCATGGTATAATAAACATCACATACCATAGCATAATTTATTCAGAGGCTGGCAGACTTCCTGATTCCAACAGAGATAAAAGTTAAACCTTTTATTGTTGAAGTATTACTTATGTAGAGAAGATTAGCAAGTCATTCAAACTGAATATGTAGTATAACCAGCACTTTGGTCAAGAAATAGAAAATTACCAGAACCATTTCTTATACTAAACAAATATAACCTCTATCCTGACTTCTAACACTTTATCTGTTTTTTTAACTTTATAAGTGAAAAATTATATAATTTGTATTATTTCAGTCTGGCTTTGTTCATTACATTTGTGACATTCATTCCTGTTTCATGTAGCAATAAGTTCATTTTCACTCTTACATGATATTTTTATTTATTAGTATAATTTATTTATTATACCATTGATACATATTATCAGTGTTCTGTTTAAAACATCCCTTTTTACTTGCTTTGTTATATCTATTTACTCATTTCTGTTGGATGTAAACTTAGGAGTAGAATTGTTGACTAATAGTGTGTGCCTCTGTTCAATTAGTCTATTTTGTCAAAGAATCCAATACTGATTACACTCCAACTAATACAATCATGGCTTCTGTGGCTCTGTAGTTATGGTAGCATTTAGAATTGTCAGTTTGTAATTTTAACCCATTTAGTGGATGCATAACATTAGTGAGCTTTTAATTTATATTTCCCTGATGACTAGTGAGGTTGAGCAACTTTTTGTATGTTTATGGTCATGTATATATCTTTTATGAAATACCAAATCAGTGTGTTTATTTTTTCATTGTGTTGCTCTTTTCATATTAATTATATGAGTTATTTATATAGTTTATTTGTGAGTCCTTTGTTGTTTTTTGTGTTTTATATTCTTTCTCTGTTTGCCTTCACTTCACATTCTTAATGGTACCTTCAGTAGACAAAAGTTTCTAATTAATGTCCAGTTTATCTTTTTTTCCCCTTCACGGGTAGTTTTTGTATTCTGTTTAAGAAATATGTGCCTCAAACAGGTCATAATAAGGTCATAATAGATTCTGTATTTTTTGTTTAGAAGCTGCGTTATCTCTTTTTCACATTGAGCTATAGTTGACCTTGGTTGAGGTTTTTTTCTTTTTTCTTTTTTTTATTTGAGTATGGTATGAGGAGGGTTCATGACTTACTTTCTTCTATATGGACAATTGTATTACTAGTATCATTTAAGAAATGATTTTCCCATTGTCACCTTTGTCTTAAAATGCTGTGCCCTTTGTCTTAAATCAAGTACTCAATATATGCAGGCATTTCTTTGCTCACTCTTACATTTCCCAGTTCTTCAGGATTGTCTTGATCTTTTTTTATTTCCATTTAAGTTTTAAAATTAGTTTATTGGTAGCTACTAAAAAACCTCGGGTTTTGACTGAATTTGTATTTGATTTATAGATTTATTTGGGGAGACTTGTCATCTTTATAATGTTAGTCTTTTAATGCATGATCAAAGTACATCCTTCCACTAATTCATGTCTTCTAGATTTCTCAGTAATATTTTATAATTGCCTATATATAGATTCTGTACATCTTTCAATAAGAGTTGTTCCTTGTTATATGATTTTTTCAATACTGTTATAATTGTTATTTTTTTGTATATCACTTCTAAGATTTAATTTTGTGATAGCTTATCAATGGCATATATCAATAGAAACCTTGCTAATAAATTCACTTTTATCTCATAATTTTTATATAGCTTCTTTTGGATTTTGCATGTATATAACAGTCATGTCCTATTCTAGTAGAGTAATTTTCTTTCTGATTTTAACTTTTTGTTTCAGTTACCTTATTTCACTAACTGGGGTCACTAGTACAGTTTTGAATGGGAAAGCTTTAAATTTAATTTCGCCTTTAGATGTTTGCTGTAAGTTGAAGATACTCCTTATCAGATTAAAGGACATGTATTCAATGATGAACAAACTTCTAGTTCCCACAAAAATGGGTTAAAATGTATAGCCCTGTAAAAATGTTAATGAAAGGCACATAGGAGTTTATTATGATATTTTTTTTTAAAGATTTATTTATTTTTGCATACAGAACTGGGGTACAGGCCAGAGGCTCAGGGGCGGCGAGAGGCTTCACCAGAGACAGAGTGGGGAGCAGAACAGGCAGATCAACGAAGTACACTGCTGAGGGGAGCAGCAGGCGGGTCAGAAGAGGTCTGCCACACCATGTGGTCACCTCCGGGGCAGGCGGAAATCAAACTCATGCGGAAGCGGCTTTAGATTCTCAGTGCTGTGCTTTAACCCGCTGCGCCACCAGGGAGGACCCTCATTATGATATTCTTAAAAATTATCTTCGTTTGAAATGTTTAAGAAGTTAAAGCCCTAAAAAAAAAAAGTGAAACTTCTTAAATCCAGAATATAGTTACCTTGAAGTTAGACTTTCAATGATGTTCACAGTTAAATTGCTGAAGACTATAGCTTTAAGTGCCTAAATGTGTAAAACGTGACATTACACTGATTAATACATTGCCCAGATTTCCCTTAACTTGACCCTGAGGTAATTTTATAGCAACTTCCCTTTAGAAGAACCATCAACTCAATTGTGTTTTTAGCTATAAAATAGGAGCTGAGAGTCCTGAATATTCAGAAATGCTGTAGTGAATATACAGAAGGCCTCCAAAACAGGGAAATATACCTTTTTGTAGTTGACAGATAGTTTTATTAGTTAAGATCTAGAGTAAGATTGCCTGGATATGAAGCCTAGCTTCATAAATTACCTTGGACAAGTCCCATCATCTCTTTAAGCCTTAAGTATCATAAAAATTTGTGAAACTATGGTAAAAATAGTGTCTGTCTTCAGAGTTGTTAATGCATTGATGCATTAAAATTAAGGATGATACAAACCTCTTAGAACACGAGGCGTAGCACATATAGTTGGTGTTCAGTAAACGTTATTGATTAGAATTTGCAATCTGTCTTTGAAAGCCTTTGAATTTCCTCTCAATAGTCTTAGTGTTTTGCTTAGAAGTATTGTGTTACTTATAATGAGAAACTGGGGAACTGTTAAAGAAACCTAAAAGGGTAATGTTTAAGTAAATAGTGATATACCTTACTTAGAATATTATGTGGCTATTGAAATACTAAGTGTGAAAACCAAGTAGTAATGTGAGAAATGCTAATCATATATAGTGATAAGAAGAGGAAAAGATGCAATTTTATACACTGAATACAAGTACTTAAAGTTATAGGGGGAAATAATCTGAAAGAAAGTATATTAAATGCAGTGCTTATGTTGTAATGGATTTTTTCCTTTATTTTACAGATTTTCTGTAAGATGTGATTAATTTTGATATTTATATATTTATTTCATGTATATATATTTATGTGACACCTCAGAGAAAGTCATTCCCTACTAACATTCCCAGTACCCTCACTCCCCAGTCTTCTCTTCACCAGACAATCCATTTTTCCAGTGTCAGCCAATGACTGGCTCAAACTTATAAAAACAGTGCTATAGCTTGTCTCACGATACGGTTCTGTTTTCTTTCTTTTAAAGATTTATTTATGTGTTCATGCAGAAACTGGGGTACAGGCCAGAGGTGGGGGGTGGGGCTGGCAGATTCACCAGAGACAGGTTGGGGAACAAAACAGGTGTTTCACCATGTGGGTCACCTCCCTGTATGGGGATCAAACTCAGGCTACAGTGGCGGCAGATAACTTCATAGTGCTGTGCTTTAACCCTTTGCACCACCAGGGAGGCTGGTAACTATTTTCTTAATAATCAGGTTTACTGAAATGATGTAATTAAAGTAAATAGTGGTGGGTGTGCTTGTGTCATATAAGGTAGTTTCCCTTCTCCACCTTTTGTTTTATTTATGTATTGCTCTCACTTGCAGGCGATTAGCAGAGGCATTTCATATCAGTGATGATTCTGATCCTTTCAATGTACGTTCTTCAGGGTCAAAATTCAGTGACAGTTTGAAAGAAGATGGCAGGTGTGTACATTCTTTGTTAATTGTGGCTTATAAGAGTATCTGCTCTTTTAAGATGTAGTAACAAATGTATAATATGTATTTCATCCATGATAAAGCCAGTTAAATTTTATGTATCTTATTATAAGTGGCATGATGTTTAATAAAAACCCTTTTCTTGGTCCAGCGAAACTGTCCTCTTGAAAATTCAACTTGGGCTATGTGTATGTGTGTGTGGACCCAGTGACAGAAGTTTGGACTTTTTAGGACTAGATAGTGTGAATTGAAGGCTTTCTAGCCATGTTCCACTTCGGTCCACCAGATCTCAGTCATGTGGTCCTCACTTGGGCAGTGACAGCTTTTACTGTCCTCCTGTTTCCTGGCCTGCCATTAGCTTATTCTCCTCCTATCTTCTCTTTTCTCATATTTATTTTCTATTTTTTCTTTTCCTTTGGTTCATCAGTCAATCTTTTATTGTAGAGGTCACTTGCTGACCACTACAATTTTTCTGCCCATATTCACTGTCTTTACAAGTAGAGGGTACACAGAGGGATTCTCCAGAGCAGGAGCAGATGAAATTAACTGTGATGTCTCATTTTAGGAAGGATTTAAAGTTCGTCAGTGACATTGAAAAAGAAATGGAAGCCCTCGTGGAGGCCGTGAACAAGGTTGAAGTCAAACTATCCAACTGGATGTGGCTCTAAGGCCAGCTTGATTTAAAAAAAAAAAAATCAGGTTCCATAAATGCTGTCAGTGTAGAATAATCGTTGGAAAACACCAATTTCCTTATCTTTTCCTAAAATCATAGCATCCATAGAAGCTTTGTCCTGGTTCAGAAAAGATTCTGCATCTTTTTTTTTTTTAAATAGGTCTTCCATTTACTGATTTCTTGGCTATATCACTCACCCCTCTGTTATGGGCCCCCTTGGGAGGAAACATCATACTGCCCACTAAAATTTACTATCTTTTGTCCTTAACCCTGTCCAGTTGCATGTCAGCCCATATCCTCAACTTGCTTGGTAGTCAGTGAGGCTCTGGGCCTCAAAAAGTCAGCTACCTTTCCATGGACCCAGGCTGTTTGGGTGTGGTGGGGAAGGACCTTTATAACATGCTTTGTTTTCAAGATGACTTATCAATCAGCCATCTTTTCCCCCATTAAGGGAAAGAACACTAAGAAGAGCCACTCCTTCCCACCTATGAACAGAGACCACCGCCGGATCATCCACGACCTGGCCCAGGTGTACGGCCTGGAGAGCATGAGCTATGACAGTGAACCAAAGCGTAATGTTGTGGTCACTGCAGTCAGGTGGGTTGAGCTTGCAGTATCAGGAGTAAGTGAGTGGTGAGGCACACTGGGCCTGAGAATCAGGGTCTGTTGGTATCTGTGTTCCTTACTTCCTCTCCTGGAAGAATAGATGGAAAATCTGTTTCTCAGCCATTCTTTGATCAAAGACCTGAACCAGAGTGCAAGACCTGGGACTCAGTCCACATGGCAGACACACAGTGTAAGTTAGAAGGAGACAGAGAGGACCTAGGATCACCATCAGAACCTGAGGGGGCTAGAAAAAACTTTCCAACAAAAACAACTTAAGTGTGAGATGAGAGAAAGAAGGTAGCAGGCCGAGCAGAGGTGGATGAAATGAATAGGGTTAAATGAAGTGAATGTTCCCCGAGAGCAACTCTGACGGTCATTTCGTGCTCAGACGCTCAGGAGCATCATAATCCCAGCGTCATGGACAGCATTCCCAACCATCTGCCTTTCTCCACAAGTAATTCTCACTTTTCAATAATTTTTGTTCTCGCTTTTCTCAGAGGGAAGTCCATTTGTCCTCCTACCACGCTGACAGGTATACTTGAAAAGGAAATGCAGTCACGTCCTCCACCACCAATTCCTCATCACAGACATCAGACAGACAAGTAAGGATTCTTCAGCTGCTTTCCAAAGGGCCCTGTCCTGGGAAAACAGCAGGGGCTGAATTGTTCTGGGCAATCCCAGCTGTCGGCTGCCTCCTTGGGCCTGGCCTTGGTCATATGTTCAGGGTTTGACTAGGTTGTTGAACATCTTTGTTCATGCCAAAGTATCCCAGATTTGATGCCTGTGATGCTCACTTCCCCTCTAGTGAGAGCAGTCACTGAGCATAATTCCCACTGTGCAAATGGTGATACGGGGAGATAGATTCAATCTCCCTCTCCCCACAACTCCATGATTTCGGAATATTGCATGGTTCACAATAGTCACTCTGGGGATGGAAGTAGGGTTGGTGGGGGAGTTGGCTTTCAGCCAGTCTATGATCCTGGGTCATTTTTACATCAAAAACACATATTGGTAATTTAAAGGAAAGGAAAAACATGCCAACAAGCAGCAGTTCTGCCAGATGTTTTCTCAGACAGGAGTGGGGAAGGAGCAACATCCAGCCTTCCCTTCTCCCTTGCCAGGAAAGGAGCCCAGCTGCCTTTCAGTGTGTGATGAGGCAGCCTTGCTGGGATGTGCTCTGAAGCCCAGCAGAGTTCCTACTCTGTTGTGGCCTTCCACACAGAAGCCCTAGCCCCACACAGAACCTGGGAGGGCAGTTTGTAAGGTCACTGTGAGGTCCTAGCAAATACCTAGTTGGTATTTGCTAGACTAGGACTAGGCATTGCCCATAGGGCATAGCCTCAGCCAAGCATGTCTGTTGCCACGTAGCTCCTGGGGACTACCAGCCCCTGGGAAGCAAGCAGCCTGGATTCCAGTCAGCGCAGGCTGCACGTCCCCATGCGGGGGAGTGGGAAGGGGCAGGGTATTCCACATATGGTTCCATAGCCATGTCCAGTAGCGCCTGGACACTGCTATGTGGAGTTGCTGGCTACTTGCCATGCTGTGTCTTCTTACATAAAACATTACTTTGGAAAAGTTTGAGTAGAAAGAATAGTATTATAATGAACCTGTAAGTGCCCATCACCAAATCTCAACAGTTAACAGCTCATGTGGATCCTGCATCTTTTGTTTTATAATGGAATCTAATCACTGTTTTACAAATATTTTTGTATTATTATCACAATATATATGATCCAAAACAATTTTTAGATAATGCATTATATATCAAATTAGCATCTGCATAACATGTTCTTTTAAGTGAGAGGTCCTGCCCTCTTATCAAATTGTGAATTAACTGATTCTTAACTTTCTGAAGTGAAGACCTAAATCTCTTTTTCCCAAACAAGAAAAATTAACTATTCTTTGTTTGCTTTTTCAGGAACTCTGGAAGCAGTAATTTACAGAAAATAGCCAAGGAGCCAGTAATTGACTACTTTGATATCCAAGACTGAGGCAGTCAAAATGCATTCAGATAAAAGAATGATGCGGTGTGGTGGAAATTGATTGCCAGCTGATAAATCATGCTTGTTCCCAAATACCTCCCATCCTTTCTTGTACTGATACATCCAAAGCATGAAAGTGTCAGTAGTCCCCCATGTCCTTGGTCCTGTCTGTATAAAGTGTTTCATTATGACAAGATCTCTGATTGGACAGTCACCAGTTTGTCATGGATTTGCCGAAGCTCTTACTCCATTTTGTGCTTGCTTGGAAGTCTTGGGCAAATTGTATTGGCCTGTAAGTGGCTTTATGATATAATTACATCCTCGGGTGTCCCTCCTCCTGCAACTACCAGTAGCAGCACCACACTTTCTTAAACCAAACTGACTGCATTCTTTGGAAAGGAACAAGCCAATTCCTCAGTTTGAAAAATCAGACATTAAACTAGCCAGTATGTGGAGTCACATATGCTATGTTAAATGCTGCTGTGTTAAATGCAGCTATGTAAGACTTGTCAAAAACAAGTCTGTCTAGCTCAACTTACTTTGGCGGTTCTCAGTACCATCATTCTAGACCTAGGAGGAGGGGTCAGGTGCTTTCCATTTTCTAGAGTTCAGAGAACTCCTCTTGCATTACATCACTGAGTCTCTTCATCTGGTGATAATCACTTTAGCTCACCACCATGAGGTAGAGGATAGAGAGCAAATGCCTCCTCCTGTCAGGTTGACACTGTGACCTCTGTACTGACCAGCATAGCCCGAACTGCTCTCTGGTTGAGAAAGAGTGTCAGGTAGACTTCATTTTCCTGTGTTGCTTCTAGGCATTCAGCAGCCATATCTACTCCCAGTCTTTGAGCTCTGAGCTTTTGCTCAGATATTTTTTAAAAAATATGTGAACAGTCCAGGGCTTATCTCAGCAACCCATTGGAATTATTCTTAAGACTCCTTTTTGGCAAGTGATTGACGGTTAACATTAGCTTGGCTATCTACATTAACACTCCACAGCATGGAGGCTAGTCTTTCAACTTCTGTTCCAGAACAAGCTATGAGCACCAGAACACCAGAAGGAGATTTGAGAAAAGACATTACAAAACCAGGCACTTAATTTCCACAGGAAAAGCAAGGCCACCCTGTGGTCCTGACCCAGACCATCCGCCTTGAAAGGCATCAGGTTATAGCAGCAGGAAATGGGGGAATAGATGAAGAGCTAAAAAACCAGCTCTGTCCAGGCCCATTTGGTGCAGGGTCAGTGGCCCCAGACCCAACAGGGAGCCAGTGAGCATCTGTTAGATCTGTCAAGCAGTGGGTTTAGTAAGGAACAGCACACAGCATTAAAGCATCAACAGGAGGCAGAAAATCTGATCTCAGATTCCAGCTCTGCCACGTAACAATTGGCCGCCTGGTGGGATGGCACTATCGGCCTCACCAGGGCTTGTGAGGATTTAGTGAGATAACCCACACAGAGGTTCCTGGTCTATCATAGGTGCTGAAAGTTTATAAAAGTGAGAGTTGGTATCTGGGAAGTGTTTCCCCCTAACACTAGCCAAGCAAGAGGGCTCGAAAGCTAAGCAGGCCTCCTCTGGTGAGTGTTGGCGTCCTCCCCTGTATCACCTGGTGTTTGCACTGGGCTGCAGATGTAGCCTGTTCTTTTACAGCTAGTAATCCCATGGGAACACATACCTAAACAAATATTTGTAATGGTTGATTCTGGCACACAGGTCATTAGTCTGTTATTAAAAGCAGAAGAACCACAGAAGTCATGTGACATACGGGGAATGAGTTAGGGCTGTGGTAGGGGAAAGGAAATAAGGACGCATGAATGGGTCTGGAGGTGAGAAACTGCCATTGGGAGGAGTGGTAGGCCGACTGAAGGGAGAGAGTCGGGTGGGTGACCAGTGGAGGGACAAGTGCTGAGGCTGGAGAGGCAGGCAGGGCTCTGAGGGACAACGAAGGGTCCCAAGCAGAGAAGGCATAGCCAGGTGTGGATTCCAGAGCAGGAGGAGGTAAAGTCTTCAGGAAGGGGATCGGATACTATTTTAGGTTTTGCATACCTTGAAGTCTCTTGTGATCTAGTCACCACTGTACAGTATTGTCTGTGCAGCACAGACAATATATAAGTGAAAAACGCATGACTGCTAATCTTTTTAGACACTAATTAGAATTTTTATGGCATGAAAAAGTATTTTCCCCTATTTAAAAAATGTAAAACCCCTAGTTTGTGGTTTAGACAAAACCAGGCAACAGGCTAGAGATTTAACCATGGCCCAAAGTCTGCACACTATATCCTAGCGCAATCTCAGGCAGTGTGTAAATGGTTGGAGGGCCCAACTTGGAGGTGGGAGGCTCAGCCTGGAGCCGCAGGAAAGGAGCTCCAAGTCAAAGGACAAGGGTGGTGGAAATGGGTGCCACAAAAGGGAGGAAGGGGGCCCAGGAGGCTGGGTAGGGTGCCAGAGGTCAGCAGGGAGTTAGCTCCACCTTGGATCACCAAGGGGACCCTAGAGAGCAAAGAGAGCGGGGGACACCCATCAAAAGTCCTCCTGTGTAATCCAAGAGTGAGGAGACAGGCCCCTCTAAGCGTTTTGGTAGTTTCTCTACTGATCTGTGGCCCTGGACAAGAGTTTACATAAATGTGAAGCCCTGTATTCACATGCCTCCCCTACCACATGAGAAGTACTTGTGGGCACCAGGTCCTTACATTGTTCCCTGGAAATCAGGTGTTCTCCCCCCTAGCCCCCACCCTACCCTTCAGCAACAGTCTACAGGATCAGAACTTCCAGAGACCAAGTTCTTATCTCTGGAATTCCCTGACTTCTCCGGCAGGACTGGCTCCTCTCAGTAGTGGTGCCAGCCTGATGTGCAGGTGGGGGTTTGTGTGCAGGACTGTGGAGATGAAAGTGGCCCTCCTGATTGCAGCGTCTGTGTGAGGCAGCTCTGGATCCAGTCCTGGGTAGGATCTGATCAGGCCAGACAACGGATCAGTTGGGGGCTGAGGTGGTAGGGTGTGGGGGAAAGAAATGGGGGAGGTGCAGTCTCAAACAGTGGCTCCTGAGATTTAGTTTCTGGGGAGTCCTTCCCACATGTACAGCCTTCTTGCATCATGACTGAAAGCCTGGATATCTTGTTCTCTATGGAAAACCTGTAAGTGCACCTCTTCTAAATCTGGGAGGGAGAAGAGAGCTGGGGAGAGTTCCTTCACCTCCATAAAACTGCCTTCATTTTGAGTCCCTTCAAGCACTGGGCCATACCGTCAGGGAGGTTCTGACTCCCCAACTCTCCATGTAGGTTTAGTACAAGTGTCCCATACCACCTCCCAAGATCTTTCAGAGTTCAAGAATCCTCATGGATCGTCTAACCCTTCAGCATGCAAGGGCCCAGAGACAGGGCTTCCCTGGTGGCCTAGGGGTTAAGTCTCAGCGCTATTACCACTATGACCTGATTTCAATCCCCAACTAGGAAGCTGACCCACATATGGCGCAGCAGACCTCTCCTGTTTTATCTACTGCACCCCTCAGCAGTGTATTTTAGTAGATGCTATCTGTTCTGATCCCAAGTCTGTTTCTGGTGAATCCTCTCACCGCCACCTGCCCGCTACCTCTATCATACACCCCAGTTCTTTTATGCAATAATTTAAAAAAATAACAAAAAAAAAAAAAGGCTGGGGGAAAGACCCCTTGAGGTTAGTCAAACAGCATTGCCAGGTTTCCCAACCTAGAACTACCATAGGGCCAGTTGAGTCCTCAGAAAAAAAGGAACTGTCTTCCCCTTTGGGGTCCCTACACAGGTCACTTAGAGTGTTTCCCCGGGTTGCTCTTAGCCCCAGGCTTCATGAGGTTGCTTTACATAGGGCACACTCTCCCAGGAGACCCAGGCGCAAAGCGCCCAACTGAACTACTAGAATGCTCCATTGACCGCCACAACTTGTTCTTACCTGTGCAGGTTGCTTCCAGAGTCTGGGTAATAGTCCCTATCATGTTCTTCCCCAGCCCTTGGGAAGGTAGCAGGGAGCTGAGTGGGCAGTGTCCCCGTGTCGTGAGGCACCTGAACAGTCAAGTGTCCGGAGCCTGTTCGAAGACTTCTCAGGGTAGCTCACTTGTTGGGGTGGAGGGTGCAGAGAGGGGACAGAAGGGAGGCAGGAGGGGACAGAGCAGTCATGAAGTTTCTCTGGCAAGGGCTGGGGCTTTCAGAACCCTGTCCTATACCACCCCACCCCATCCTGACAGATGGTAAGGGAGTCAGAATCCTCATCTACACATAATCTCCTGAATCTCTTCTGAGAATGTTAACAGTTTTTGGGCATTTAGTATGCGCCAAGACTGAGTTCATCCCTTTTACTCTTCAAAACCCCATGAAGCATTATATCCTCTTTAGCAGTGGGGAAACTCAAGGCTGGAGAAGTCAGATGGCTCATCCAAGACTACTCAGTAAACAAATTGGGGATCTGAAATTCCTACTAGGTCAGACTCCAAACCTGTGTCCTCTCCACTACACAGGCCCAGAAGGGACAGCTCACAGAACTCATCTGGGACCTTGCGAACTTGGCCCACTAGGTCAGAACCAGTGGTAAGAAGTTTACGGATGATCCACCAGAGAACGCCCGCAGTCCTGCAGTCCTTGCAACCCACAGAAGATGGAATTTTACCTGCAAAGGCCACTAGGGGTCAGTATGTACCCCTCAAATAGGCGCCTGGGGGTTGGAGTTAGGGAGCGCTTATACCTTGCTTCAGGAAAACATTCGTTATTTAAAACATTTTAGTAGATTTGAAATCATTATCTTATAAATGTAACACCTTTTTTTCTCTTTGTAAGCACAGGGGGAAATCCCAGGCAAAGGGTACCCTCACTCCCGGTGATGGAAACTTACCATGTACCTTGAAGAACAGCAAAGCTGTTAGCAGCAGGGGAGATGAAGAAGGGAGACCAGCAGCGGCCTTCAGGCCTATGGATGGTTTAGGATAGAAGAGTGAGTGATAAGATCTGGCTCACTCTTTGAAAGGATCACTGAACCCACTGTATTGAGAATTAGACTGTAAAGCTGAGTGAGAACAAGGGAAGACGTTGGTTGGAAGCACTGTTGTATCCCATAGGCAGTGACCATGGCTCGTATGGGTGACACTTGTAGCCTGGCGAGATGTGGTTGACTTGAATCATTTTGCAAGTAATACCCAGTTGCTGATGGCTGGATGTGGGGTGTGAGAGAGAATC